AACCTGGTAGAGGACTTTTTCTTTCTTAAATCTAATTTGTGCATTGTGGGGTTTTCTACCACAGTATAAATATGGCACTTCCATCACGATTACATAAATTCACCTAGAACCAAAGAAGCTGTAACTACATGAGCTAATGTAACTAAATGTCTAATTTTCAAAAAATTGTTTAGGAACATATATTTTTGTTCACAATATGTGAAAAGTAAAAAAGTATTTATAAGACTTTCAGGCCTAACTACCACTTTCTACATTTTGACACAATACCCACCTCCTCTCCGACTGCTATAACCACTTTTGTTATCATTTATTAATACTTACAAGCACCACATTTTCATTACATTTATAAAGCTCATATGCTTACTAACAGTAACTCAATATTGCTGCAAGACACCTATTCCTGCCAATGTGCACTGGGCTGAAAAACCTAACATCAGTGTTTGGGTTAAATATATATCATTCCTATTAGACCATACATTATGCATGTCAAATAACAAATGCAAGAGTAATGAAGTCACATGTTTTTCTCACATTACCCAAGACTCACTAGGTTTTGGTTTCATTTTATAAAATCTTGTCTATTTTCAGCAGGTATTGTATGAAGCTCTGAACAATAATGATCGAAATGGAGTGAAAAGCCTAAGCGCAGGTTGGATGGATTTGCTCTGTGCTCCGCCAAGTTTCAAATTTATGCAGTCAACTCCACTGAGCTGTACAGCAACACCAAGCATGAGAAACCAAGAAAGAAACTGGGATGGAGAGAGAGAGAGAGAGAGAGAGAGAGAGAGAGAGAAGAGAGAAGAGAGAGAGAGAGAGAGAGAGAGAGAGAGAGAGAGAGAGAGAAGAGGAGAGAGAGAGAAAGAGAAAGAAGAGAGAGAAGAGAGAGAGAAAGAGAGAGAAAAGAGAGAGAGAAAGAGAGAGAGAAGAGAGAAGAGAAAGAGAGAGAAGAGAGAGAAAAAGAGAGAGAGAGAGAGAGAGAGAGAGAGAGAGAGAGAGAGAGAGAGAGAGAGAGAGAGAGAGAGAGAGAGAGAGAGAGAGAGAGAGAGAGAGAGAGAGAGAGAGAGGGGGGGGGGGAGGAGGGAGGGAGGGAGGGAGGGAGGGAGAGAGGGAGGGAGGGAGGGAGGGAGAGAGGGAGAGAGAGGGAGAGATGGAGAGAGGGAGAGATGGAGAGAGGGAGAGAGGGAGAGAGGGAGAGAGGATGATGAGGAGAGGGAGGGAGAGGAGAGAGGGAGAGGGAGAGAGAGAGGGAGGGGGGGAGAGAAGAGGAGGAGGGGGGAGAGAGAGAGGGAGGGGGGAGAGAGAGAGAGAGAGAGAGAGAGAGAGAGAGAGAGAGAGAGAGAGAGAAGAGAGAGAGAGAGAGAGAGAGAGAGAGAGAGAGAGAGAGAGAGAGAGAGAGAGAGAGAGAGAAAGAGAGAGAAAGAGAGAGAGAGAAACAGAAAAAGGCAATAAAATGGGTAAATCAATGATTTAGAGACAAATAAGAGTGAATGACTGACTGACATAAGAGAAATAGAGTTAGACACATAAACCGAAAGCATGGATATATGATGGAATTAGTGAAGCAAGCAAGAATGTAGTACAAGACAGCTTACACAAGGTTCTCTTAATCACAGAATAAGTCAATCTACACATTTTCAAAACAACAAAAAAACACATGAATAAACTAACCATCATAAAGGCCCTTCTGCAGCACCAGGAGGCGAGTGTGGGCTGGTTTGCAGCGACCAACGTGGCGACTGAGAGGAGTCGCCATCTTCACATCTCTCCATTCTGGACGAAGGTCATCCCCTGCAGAGGAGTAATAAAATCTACATCTGGCATATGAAGTTCATTTTGGGCACTGAATTTGCTGCAAAATATATGATCATTTGATATGGTAAAGCAAAATTTAACCCGGTGATAATGGCTTTTACCCATACCATACAAACCATGTACCAGGCATTTTTACAGGAACTCAAAATTGGGTTTTGATTAATACAACATAAAACCAGTAAATAGACCATAACACTAGCACCACAGCTAACTAATTTACACGTACCTTATACATCATGGGTACAAATTATTGGTAATGATGAATTACGTTAATCCTTTTATAATGTTTACATATATTCTTAAAACAGTTTTGTTTTATATTCTATTAGTACTAATATTTAACGGTAATACAAGAACAAGCAAAGAGCCAGTAGCTCTTACTTGATCAGTAACTGCCTCATGGATCTGTACCAGTGTACACAGTAAATCAACATATCACTGAAGTGGTGAAATGTAAGTGTGTTTCTTTAGTTCTTTCCCCAAGAGCATAATTCCTGAAAGGTGACCATAATATAGTCTTGGAAAACAAGAACGAAATGCCAAGCACAGACAGTGATTGAAAGCAGAACAGCACAAATGTTGATATGATCAATGCAGTATATTATTGAAAAAGTAAGTGATCTATATGACTGGCTCAAGTACATAATTATCATAAAGGAGGTAAAAGACTGGTTGCTGCACTATGCTAAGTCAGCCACTCAAGTGAAAAATAAAAAATATGGGAAACATGTATTTTTACCTAGTTTCTAAAATTTTGGCTGTATCATAAAATAACACTTTAAGCCAACTTTGAAAGGCTGTACCTACTTACTGAATTTGCTCTAAAAGATTAAGGTATTGGTGAATGTAAACACAGAAGTTAAACACACACACTCTAAAATACATAGACAATACCTCTTGTCTCCTAAGCAAAGGAAAAATTAAGAGAAAAATTTTGTGGACAACATTAATTTCTAAATCCTTGTTAAATGTTTCTTTATTAACAAAAGGCCTAAAGAAGTGTCATTAAAGATAGTGGCAGACACTTATTTTCATGCCATATATGCCCGGATACTGCCCTGGTTCACGGCTTCGATATTGACGTGTATGATAATATGAAGCCTTTGTAGCTACTATTTTAGCCTAATTCTCACAAAAGCATACAGTCACCATTGTGCAAAATTCACACTGTAGAAAAAACTATACATTGTAAATGGAATTAGATAATGATGGTATGACATGTCCCTGCCGAAGCATCCATTCTGGTTTGGCATATCAAACATGCCACACGGATGCAATTAATTAATGCAATAACAAATATACCAATATCTTGAATTGCAAAGTAACAACATTTAGAGGATATGGAGACAGTGATTCAAAAGCCATTTTGATTAAATAGCTTGTGGAGCATACAACTCTTTAAATGAACTAAATTGATCCTATATTACATTAGTATATTTATATTACCTATTTTAGTGATGAAAGAATTAACCTTGTGTTATGTGA